GCTACCTCTAAATCAAGGCTGGTTTGTCCTTGAAAATACATGGTTTGATAATCACACTGCAGTTGTGTTAACATAAAGTAGCAAAGCTACTTTTGTGTCACCCGAGCAATGAGTTATTAACACATGCTACAACACTGCTCCACATTTAAGAGTCTAGAAGTTAGAATGAAAAGTAATATCAATGGGTTTTTTCATCCTTTCTAACTATATGACTGCACTGCATTCAATGAACGAGTCAGATTCTACAGACCATGTAGACAAATGGCCAGGTAACATAACACGTAAAGCAAGAGCTGGTCACATAAATTATACTTGCTCTGAAAAAAGAAAAGCCCCTGTTGCTATTATTGAGACACTTTCTTTTAAAATCTATCAGTGTACTAGTAAGTTTTGAAAAAGGTCCTGCCTCTCAGAGCTCTGACATTACAATGATCAAGAGTTGTCTTGTGAAATCTGTCATGCTAGCAAAAAAAAAGGAGAAAAAAAAGTGAATTAATATCCTCTTTGCAGCAACACAGGAGGAGCAGTAGGTCATTAGTCCCTCTGGTTTGTTGTCATATTCCATTACTTCAACTGTATTTCATCCTCGCTTTTCCTCATTTGATCAACGTACCTTTGTATTGTACCAAACCTTCTAAATTCAAAGCAATTTCATTACTTCAAACTACACAACAGAGGCACTAGTTTAAATAACGTACTGACATTCCTGTTCATTAATGGCATTCTGCTCATCAGCCACACACACACACACGATTGTGCAGGAATTTTGGGAGCAAAATGGTGGATTCATGCAGTTTATGTACAAAAACAGAACACGTTGGTAATTTCCTATACTTTAAAAATTCTTATGCTCTCACACATTGCAAAATCTGTCCAGCTACCTGCAAATCAACCATTCTGGTACAGCTTTGTGAATGCAGGTGTAATCACAAGAAAAACACAAGGAGGCTTCATATCATGCTTAACCACAGCAAATGAACCACTGGGTAAGCATGACCTCAGCCATATTGTGGGGCCCTTACTAGAATGAATGAGATCTCCTGCTGGCCCCTACCACGCGCTTCCCTGAAAATAGTTACTAATTTTCCTAAAGTGCTTCTGAAATTGATGAAGGTGGTTATAAAAGGCGCTGATTTAGAGTCAGGCCACTGTTGTGAAGTGATGAAATATTGTTTCATCTACATGTTACACAACACTTCCACTGTAGAAACAGGAACAGGACCAGGCTATCCAAACTATCGAGCTGGTATTCACTTGGATCAACAAAAACAGGAACAGATATATAACCAGCGTCTGCAGCAATAATCATCCACTTCATTGCCTAAAGTCAAAACAAACCCCCCTTAACATCCTTCCGAAGTCTGAAATCCCATGCACTAAATCTTTGTCATATGAGCAGTTTCATTTTAGTACTCACCTCAAAGCAGCAAGTTCCTCGTCTCTACATTTTATGAAGCTTAATGTTTAAGACAAGTCACCAAGCTTAACTGGGTTGCTCTCAAAGTATTTTGGTGACTATAGTCTCTTGGACATGCAATATTTAGGGTTTTGGTGCTGATTTCCTATCTAAATCAAACAAATATAAGACTGATGATTTTCTTTAAATTCCTGACACCTTTCCCTGCACACATACTTCATTAGCGATGAGGCGACGTAAGATAAACAACAATACAAATTGCTGGAAAAGTTCAGCAGGTCTGGCAGCATCTGTGGAGACAAATCAGAGTTAACTTGTTGGGTCCAGTGACCTTTCCTCAGAACTGTGCTGTTGTGGCTGCTGAACATTTCTACTGCAGCAATTTCACAGACTCATTTTTAGTCAGTGCACAAGATAGGCACTGAGGTCACCTGTGTCCCCAAGAGACATTTTCTAGAAACAGGAGCAGGACCAGGCTATCCAAACTATCGAGTTGGCATTCACTTGGATCAACAAAAACAGGAAGAGATGTATAACCAGCGTCTGCAGCAATAATCATCCACTTTATTCCCCAAAGTCAAAACAAACCCCCTTAACATCTTTCCGAAGTCTGAAACCCCATGCACTGTTCAGAAATGTTATTAGACACCTTTGGAGCAGGTGGGATTTGAACCTGGGCCTCCTGACTACCAATGCACTGCAAGAGCCCTCTGGTGTTCTCAGCAGTTTATTGTTCACAAATTAACACAGTTCATTTAGAATCCCAATTACAGAACCTCTCACTAACCTGGCTCCTTCACAGACCCCAACTCCAGGTCACTCAGCAAAGAAAAGCATCAGCTCGGAGATCTTTGCCCAGGTACACTCACTGTAAACTGCTGGGACATAGAGAAATCTTGGGACACTTTCATCATAGGGTTTGATCTGTCACTTTGTTTGAACTGGAGACAGATTTTTCTTCTTAGAACCTCCCCTTTCCCCAAAGGGCTTGTCTATCTCCCTCTATGAGCTAACTAAGTGCCAGAGTGAAGATTCCACCCTTTGACCAGTCCAACTTCTTTGTGCAAAGTTATGCTGTATATGAGTGTATGTCCTCTTGCTCTTGAGGTTAGCACACTTATATTACCCTGAATGTGAACATTCCTCCCAATACCAGCAGAATAGGCATGAATGTCAAGGGGCTAGAACTTCCACACCGGTTTGAAGCTTATGACTTGTTCTGTTCTGAAGAAATTTGACAAGAAGATCATCAGATTAGATTTTTGTACATTATCTGGAAAGCAGGGTAAAGGAGGTTAATCAGATGAGTGCTAATGTAATGAGAAAACATGTAACAGGAAGGGTTGTGGAGATTTGATAGTAATATTCTAAATAATAAGAGTCCTAAACAGAGCAGACAGAGAGAAACTATTGCCTTCAAACTGAATGGTAAAAGAACCAAAAGACAACATAAGGCAAAATCCTTTCTTTCGCTAAGCACAGTTTGTGGTTAGGATCTGGAATGCACTGCCTGGGAATGTAGTGGAGACAGATTTAATGGACACTTCCAAAAGGGAACTGTGTAAGTGCCTGAAGGGAAAGCATGTACAAAAGATAGAGAGGAACGATTAGGGATTGGGATGAGATTGTATTGCTTTTGCTATCAGGCAGCACTGGTTAGACGGGCCGACTGCATCCTTCTGTGTTCTGCTATGATTCTATTGTGCATTAGGTTTGAGCAGTCCCTTTAGACTGGCTTCGTCCGCCATTTAAAACTTATGCCTCTCAGTGCATAATCAAGTTTAACACACTATTTAACACATGGATCACAAAAATCAGTTCCTTTTGTTCCAAAATGTGAGTAGGTCCTGCAAAGTACAGTGATATTAGAACATCGAAAATTTGTTACAGCACAGAAGGAAGCCATTGAGCAACATCCACAAGATCACTCTTCCATTAAATTGTTAGCCAAGGCATGACATTTAAAGTAGAATAAATAAAATGCATATTAAAAAAATCCTTCAATAATAATTGTTGTAAAAAAGAAATTAAAATCCTAGTCAACATTTTGTGCATTGAAACTAAAATAAACAACAATAGACCATTTAACTTCAAGATACTTCAGAGTAAAACCATTACTTCATTGTTGTTGGGTGCAAAGCCCTGGAAAACTCTATCTAACATAGTCTTTTGATAAGATCTTCATCACAGAGACTACAGTGGTTCAGGCAGATCCTCCCATCATCTTTTTGGGCACCAGGGAAGGGCAATTAATGCCAGCTTTGCCACTTACGTAAATACGAAACAAATTAAATATTGCTTACAATACAGATCGTGTTTCAGCACCTCCCCTCCTCTGCCCTAATCTTGGAGTGGGATTGCTGGATGGTCGACTTTGCTTGCATCAGCAGACCTTGACACTGACAATACTCTATGACGGCTGTTGATCAATGGGAAGCTGTTACCATTTAGCTCATGCAGGCACACAATGCCATTCTTACAATCACCATCCCATCAGGGTGCAACTTCGAGTGAGCGCAAGTCGCAATCCTGCCTTTGCCAAAAAATTCATCCTGCAAAATAAATAAATAAGGCAAACTTACCAAGTAATGGGGGTCCTTTATCATCTGAAGCATTTCTATGATTCAAACATAAGCATGAGATTTTCATTCCTTTTAGCTGGCTCAGACATGACATCTGAATGGCTTTTCTCTGTATCATAATTATTCCATCATCTATGAGTCACTGGTTATTAAAATAAGTTCACCAATTCCCATTCTTCCATAAGCATGCCACTTCTCCTTCAGAACATTTTCACCTGTGTTGTATCACACAGCACAGAAAAGATGGATATGAATAATTTGGGCACCCTTACTGCAGGAGGAAGGAGGGTGATTATGTAGTTGTAAAAACACGGCACGACGTTAGCCCAACCTCAGAATGAAACAAAAAGCCAGCCTACTGAAACAGGTGATGTCAGACAAATCACATCACCTTTCCTCCCAGACAGTATAACTACATTTGGAAATGTGAACCATTGGATTAAATTCTGACACTTGATCCCCTGATCTGCCCCAAGAATAATTGTTAATCTTGAGTACTGCAGGACTAAAAAGCCATCCTGTTGAAGCTGTTGTCTTGCATTTGTCAGAACTGAAACACAAAAATAGCAAATTGCAAGCCCAACATATAATCTTAAATTGACTGTTCGTGCCAAGAATTACATGATCAGGATTGTTTAGTAAGTGTTGTTCAATCATGGAGTCATATCTAAAGTTGTTCTAAGTTTGCAACATGACTTACTTACCCCTGCTAAAAGCTACATTTATTCATAAATAGGGCATTGTCCTTCATAAATAGAAAGAAGGTGTTCTTCACTGTGCCTTTTCCAACTAAATACAAGGTTATGGGACAAATATCCCCTGGTGCATTCACCTTAGCAATGCCATGATCAATCAGAGACAATTTTCCTATTTTGAATTGAAACAAAAGCTCAGGGGTCAACTGCTCCTCCAAGCATTCTCCATGCAACGCCTTGCCAACCATTCAATGCCTTCTCATGCATTAGTTGTCGCTCCCAGTGAGATCTGGTATTCTTGCAATTCTGTCCTGACGCACAAGACAAAATCTTTCAACACTGAAAACTCACTTCACTCAAAACAGTTAAACATGAATATGAATCCGGCACCTACAATGCAAGGTGAAAGAACTTAAGATCCAGCTGTCTGGACAAAGGCTTTCTAACTTAACATTTAGACAATATGCTAAACTCACCATTTGTATTATATAGAGTCATTTATCAGTAGTACCATCTTTGCATTTATAAATAAAACGTATGTATTTACACATACTTCTCCCTTTTCCTATTAGAATTTGCTTACATCCACACTTAGAATGGAGCCTGCACATGTAAACCTATCATCTTCTAGTTACACCTCTTCAAAGTAGTGACACTGCAGTACCATTACTGGTAACAGTGTACCAATGACAGTGAGGCAGGTGCTCACAGGCAATTGCCATCATAAACTTGGATGTAGTAATTTATAGCAGAAATATAAAGTAAGAGCAGAATGCATGACTTTGAGATAAGGGTTGAATACATCCGCATTTCTCTTGTCCAATAGCTCTCTGCCTGTAAACCAGCTTTCCTTGAAAATTAACTTGTCATCTGGACTTCTTCATTGAGCACCACATGACTTCAATGTTCATATAGTTTTAGAGTCCCACACTGATCTTGTAAATTAACATTAAGCATTTGTAAGGTAACACACTGTAAAGAACTCATTACGTTCCTCTCCTCCTAAAAAAAATTCATTTGGGAATGAGGACCAATTTATGTTCCCATCTTGAAGTCTTAAGAGTTTTGTTTCTGTGGTGATGACGACAAAATTATTAAACATACTGAAGGCACATTTGAGAATACTTAGTTGTGATTCCTTTCCATCAGTGTGAATGGGTCCTTGATCCCAGGTACTCGAGTATCAAACTCCACAATCAGGCTGTTTCTCAGCGAGTTTTCTCGACAATATCTGATGCGTGGACAGAAAGGCCACCCCTAAGTGGAAGAGAATCTGCCAAACGTTCCTCAGCCCAAATAAATAAGAATTGCATATACAAATGAGAATAAACGCTCCGGCTGCCTTGACCATCCTTGTTGAGACGAAGAACAGGTACAGGTAACACTGGAAAGGGAATGGATGCAACCATTTTTTAAAAAAGTGATAAAATGCTTGGCGCAAATCAAAATAAAAACCTTGTTTATTTCATACAAGTCAGCTGAAGTGCTCAGATATTAACCCAACATAGAAACTGGTCAAAACAGCAAACACAAAATCATAAAATCATTTGATTTTAGTTTGTTCAGTAATTCTCTGCAGGCCTGAACTCTTCTTGCCACAGAAGGAGGCCATTCAGTCGTACATCACTATTCACTGAGATCCTGGCTGATCTGTAATTCTTCATTTGTCAGCCGTTCATCACTATCATGCGATACTCTTAACTAAGAAAACTCTACCGATCTCGGTTTTGAGTATGTCAGCTCATCATGTGTTCCCCAATCTTTCGGAGGAACAGAGTTCCAGATTTCCACTGCCCTTTTATTTTAAGAAATGCTTTTTCTTTGTCAGTTATAATTAGAGCAAGATGTTTATATTCTACTTGACTATATCCCTTTATCGTTTTAATCACGTGAATTATTTCAGCCCCTCAATCTTCTATACTCAAGGAAATACAAGCCATGTTTATACAACATGTTCTAATAATTTCCTCCATTAACTTTGGTATTATTCGAATCTGTGCTGCAAACCAATATCACTTTCCTGAGATGTGGTCAAAGGCTGTGGTCACTGGTGTCTAAAACAAAACCTGATACTGTAGCTGTGGTCTGACCGGGTCTTGCTCGACAAGGGAAATGACTACTGTAAGTGTCACTTTCCCCATTTTAGCCCACATGAGATAACATCAGTAAAATGTATCAGAATTCTTAACTAACTAATCAAAGATTATTGGGGCAGCTCTAAATGTGAAGTTGTGGTCACAATCAGGTCAGCGTGTTCTTACTAATCGGCTCGAGGAGCCGATTGACTTGTTCCTGCTCCTAAATTGCACGCTTGTATGAAAAGGATAATATACAATACAATATCCTTTTATTGTCACGTGTGCCCCATTGTAGGAGTACAGTGAAAATCTTCTACAATGTCTGCCTTCTTATGGCGACATCTTAGGTATGAGTACCTAGGTACAATTTTTGGATACAGCAGGATAAAGGGATCAGTGCCATCCAGTTGTCAGCAAGAGTGAAGAACTTGCTAAACACACAGAAGCAGATCCTGCTCCAGTTCAGATCTCCATTACGCATGCACTAAAGTGACTGATTTAAAAAAAACATTGAGTTCAACTATCATGAGAAAGAGGAGTTTCTTTATTGGCCCTAAAAACAAGATTTGATGGCACCAGGTAAATATTATAGATGAAAGACAGTACATAGACAATAGACAGTAGAGAAACGTAACACTAACAGAGAAGGAGCCGCGGGGAATGGCATAGACAGCAAGTAATTAGGAAAGCCAATAGAATGTTGTCCTTATTGCAAAGGCAATCAAATAAAAAGTAGGGAGATTATGCTTCAGTTATACAGGATATGGAGGAGACCTCATCTGGAGTACCGTATACTATATTGGTCTTCTTATATAAGGAAGGCTGTAAATGCTTTGGAAGCAGTTCCGAGAAGGTTTACCTAACGAGAATGGGCAAATGGTCTTATGAGGTAAGGTTGGACAAACTAGGCTGGTATCTGCAGTAGGTTTGAAGAGTAACAGGGAACTTAATTCAAACAGCTAAGGTCCTGAGTGGTATACTGTATATTATCTTACATTTATGGCCCCTCATCCTGATCTCACCCTCATGTGGAAACATCTTCAGCACACATAAGTTATCAAACCTTTGCACAATTTGAAGAATCTCCATTAGGTCAACTTCAGCCTTTACTTTTCTGGAAGCTATTACAGGGAATTTTCTCCCTGCTCTCAGATCAAATCGTTCTCCAGTGTCCTAACCACCTGCACCCTAACACTATGATGTATGTAAGAATGTTACGCTCATTTACAGTGGCTGTACATGAAAAGATATCTGTTTAATAACAATTATAAACAAAGATAATCTCACCTGGAATACACAGGTAATAAAAGCTACAAGAAATGCAATAACTGAGCCCTTTTCTTCATCACCGTCCTAGGAAGAAATAAAATTAACATGTAATAACAAACAAATACCAAAACAAACTTCTATCAGACAGCAACAAAAGTTCAATAATTTCACTTTCAAAATTCAGACCTTTATCCTAACACAAGATAAAGGACACAGGGAGGAGATGACCCAGTGGCATTAATCACTGGACTGTTAATCCAGAGAACAAGGTAATGCACTTGGGGCTGAAGTTCAAATCCCGCCATGGTAGATAGTGGAATTTGAATTCAGTAAAAGTCTGGAATTAAAGAGTCTAATGATGACCATGAAATCACTGTCAATTGTCATCTGGTTTATTAATGTCCTTCAGGGAAGGAAACTGCCATCCTTACCTGGTCTGGCCCACATGTGACTCCCGACCCACAGCAATGTGGTTGACTCTTAATTACCCTCTGGGATGGGCAATACATGCTGGCCTAGCCAGCAAATATCAACCCATGAATGAATAAAAAAAAAATTAATAAATCTCATAACATCTATTGACTAATAAACCAAGTGAGAAGGAGGTTCCAGTCTGTTGGACACAATTAGTGCATGGACGAACAGTGGCAAAGAGCTATTAGATAGGGGTAACATACTCCACATAGGAAGAAACAATAAAATGGGTGGCATATAATCTGTGATGGTGTGCATGTAGCTTAGAATTAAAAGGAAAATAATTCTACCAGGTATTTATAGATTCAACATTCTAACACTGTACGGCAGTAAGCAAAAAAAATAACCAGAATAATGAATTATACAGTCAGAAAAAAGTCAGGTCAAGTCACATACTCAAATCCAAAGTTGTTCACAAAATATTGGGAGACAGTTCGAAAAGGAGCATGATCCTCAGTATGAGAATACTGAACTATGGTGACAAATGTGGACTTTTCATTGAGAGGGTGGCATAGAAAAGTGACATTAGACAGGTTGGCAAAGGAGTATACTACATATGGGGATTATTACTTCAAACTCAAAGGAGCAGCAGTACAATCAGCACAGGCTTAAACTAATGAGGTGCCATAAATATTGTCACAGAACTCCACTCCACACAGGAAGATCAATAGGCAGAATTGACTAAGGGAGAGTAATGAAGGCAAAAATCCCTGGAATCATTTAGCAATCTGAAGCCATAATGGAGACTATAATGTCTTTGTGGCTAGGTGAGTCAAGATGAGTCAAATTTCTTCCCTCATTTATATCAATCTTGTCAATTACCAGCTGTTTTTGCTGGTTGCCAAGCTTTAATTTTTAAATTTTTCACCCAGATAATTAAATGAAAAAGATTAGCAAACTCAACTCTGCCTCGATCAATATCAATTTTTAGCACCCTCCAAACTAAAATAAGCATAAAATTGCTTGTTTGAAAAAACAGACTGTATACAATTACATAGAAAGCAATATCATCTCTTACGTAGTTGACCCTGTACCTCTAAGTCAATAATAAATGCACTTTAAAAGAATAGTAGAAAATATATGCAAAAAATTACTGAAAAGAGAACTTGGAAATTATATACTGCCAAAGAAAAATATTTGATCAACTGTTTGAAAAACTTCCAAATAAATCTCACTCCCCTGCTCTTTCTTGCAAGTGTCACATAAATACTGAAAGAATGTAGAATCTCATGAGATGTTGTTAATAAGATCCTAAGATCATGAGAAATAGGAGCAAGATTAGACGATTCATCCCTTTAAAGCTCCTCCGTTATTTAATCAGATCATGGCTGATCCAATTGTGGCCATAACTAAACTTTCCTGACTGCTCCCCATAAAACTTCACTCTATTGTCCATTGAAAATCTGTCCAACTCACTCTCATGTGTATTGTAATGCTTTCAGCTGGGTATTGAGACTCAAATGAATGTTGAGCATTAATTTAAATCAATAAACCCTATAATCCATTGAAATTCCCATCCTCATTTTCCATTACTTTGCTCCCCTCTTCCCTCCTGACTCATACAGGTGACAATTCCACAAAATGCTAGTAACACTCCAACATCACAAACAAGCAACCACTGACTGGATCTGGACAATGAATGTAAACTATTCAACCTCAGGGAATTCAGTAACCTCCTCTTCCCATGCCCAATACCTTGTGTGAAAGGAAGTAAGAGACAGAGAGAGAGAGAGACAGACAGAAAAAAAAAGGTGACTGAATAGATCCAAAACTGAAATCCCTGTCCAATTTTCTCCTCCCTAGCTGGATAGATAACTGGTGTTGGTTTATGATTGCCCTGGCTAAGTTAAACTAACTTGACACATGCCAGAGATTGAAACCGGCATAAATTTTCCCTGCAAATACTCAGCTGTTAGCCACTGCTTAGTGTTCCACAGAATTCTGTAGCTCAAACCAATACCACTGTATGAGGGAGCATTGAACTGTCAAAGGTGCAGTCTTTCAGATGAGAGATTCAACCAAGGCTATATTTCATTGAGCCACTGGAGGGAGTTCAGAGACTATTTGTTGAGGATACAACTAATTCAGAGGTCTTTAGATTATCAGAAAGAATTACATTACTTTTGAATGTGAAGATCTTAGAAATTTTGGCACAAGACCAAGATCAGCTTGCAAAAGAAAGGGTTGTTCTGAGCAAGCATCTTTTCAAAGCTCAGAATGTCCTCAAAGCCAATAAAGTTCTTAAGTGCAGTCACCATTACAATGCAGCAAATGCCAATTGGTGCACAGCAAGTTCCCACAAACACCAATTTGCTAATAGCCATACAACATTAGGTGAGGAATACGCATTACCCATTATTCTTCAAAACAGTGCCACAAAATCTCATACCTATCAGATAAGGGCAGACTAGGCCTTGAGTTTATTGGCTGATGCAGACCTGCAGGTTTCTCTTCTGCTCTGACGAAAGATTCGCTGCCTTTTCACAGCCCATGCTGTTCAGCTACTGACAACCGATCACATGGTAGTTGACAGGCAGAGGACCTTTGTCACTGATAACTGGTCCCCAGTACACACACCAGTCAGCTTCACTTGTAAACAACCCGAGCTCCAGTTCGTCTGCAAATTGTTGGAACCCACAGTACAACAAGAGCTCAAAACATGTAGCCATCCTTGTAAATCTCTGGGTTTCAAAACAGTTCCTTCTCATTTCAGATAACAAGGTGAAGGAGGGTCTAGGCCCGAAACATCAGCCTTCCTGCTCCTCCGATGCTGCTTGGCCTGCTGTGTTCATCCAGCTCTACACCTTGTTATCTCAGATTCTCCAGCATCTGCAGTTCCTACTATCTCTTTCTCATTTCAGTCCAGTTTTAAAAAGCACAAGAACAAAGTCACAGAAACAGAAATTACTTGAAAACTCAGCAGGTCTGGCAACATCTGAGGAGGAAAGCAGAACTGACATTTTAGGTCCAGTGACCCTTCTATAGAACTGAAGACACAGTGTTGCAGGGCACAAGCTGTCAATAGCTGTCACATGAAACCGACATCTATGAACATTGGCATTCAACACATACGAGCCTCACCACATCATCATAGTACCTCACCATTCCACTTAGAATGTGCTTCCGTACTTCAAGCAATGCTGCATTTTGGAGTTCACGGTCATTTCTCATTATAAAGCTGCTGCCAGGGCACTTTATGCAAAGACCCACGTACCCAGCTCGTGATTTGAACTCGGAGTCTTTGTATGCTCTCTTGGTATTCGCTCATTTTGTGCCTACTTCAGTATTCACAGCATCCCTGACTTGCCTTGGATTTTAGCACTTTGCCCCTCTATCAGAGCTTAAAGGTTCGCAGTAGATCTATCCCGATTTGACGGTCCAGCAAAATCCAGATGACTGCATGTCATGGTTGTCAGAGATCATCAATCAAGGGACTGGGCATAATGATGGACAGCACTGTGCTACATCAATTTAACACCCAGACTACCAGCCAGCTGCATACATGCCATGTACACGGTCTGCAGTGGCACGGTGACTCAGTGGTTAGCACTGCTGCCTCACAGTGCCAGGGACCCGGGTTTGACTCCACCCTCAGGCAACTGTGCAAACTCCACACAGACACATTCGCCCCATGTCTGCATGGGTTTCCTCCCAGAGTCCAAAGATGTGCAGGTTAGATGGACTGGCCTTTGGAAATGCAGAATTACAGGAGGTAGGGTAGGGAGTTGAATCTTGGGGGGGGGTCAGTGTGGACTCGATGAGAGCGAGTGAGGGTAGATGCCACAAGCAATATCGATAGTGGTACAGCATGAGCTTTGGGTAGGAGATGGGTGCATCAGCAGAGATAGAATCAGTGCGAGGTAGCAGATAGAAGTTGTAGCCCTATACTGGTGGAGCAGAGAAGATCATTGATATTTTTGAGGTATTGTTGGGCATGTCTCCAGAGGGCTGAGACTGCACTGACCCAACCTGTCAGGGTTAGGTGTCACGGTCTCCTTTGCCTTTTGTTGCGTGAAAAGGATGACCCTCCTCTGCATAACTCTGTCCACCCAGAACCCCCATGACCCCATTCCAAAAAGTGGGGCACCAATTTCCTTTCAACTTCCATGTCTGGGAAAAATGTTTTGAACAATGCAGGGCAGCTCCAGACTGGGCAATGAGTGCGTAATGGCCTTTTAAATATGGCACTAATGTCAAGCATCTGGGATATCCCAGCCCAGGAAACCCAAGCAGACACAGGGAGAATGTGCAAACTCCACACAGTCACCCAAGGTTGGTATTGAACATAGTTTCTTGGTACTGTGAGGCAGCAGTGCTAACCACTAAGCCACCGTGCTTAGCCATAATGCTGCACAGGGGCATGATACATAGTTAATGAAGCAAGTTTAGGATGATAGCATGAGAAAGTTCACGTTCAGGAAAGAGAAACATTCCACGAGACGAGACAGAAATGACACAAAGCTGATCTCTAGTAAGGTCCAACTTTATAGCAACTTTGTAGATATGTTTGCTCACTGAATTCGTAAATACGGAAGATATTTCTTCAAATATTATAATGATAAAAAGCCTAACATCACTAAGCTATATGATGACTCTATAAGCACACAGTGTGGTAAACAAACATGAGAACATAAGAAAGTGGTGGTGGGATGGACCATTTAATCTTGCAAGCCTGCTCCTTCACTTAAGATTATGAATGATCTTTGACCTCAATACACCTTCTGGCACTAACCCTACATCTGTTAATTCCTTAGCATCCAAAGTTATGCATTCCAAAGAGTCACAATCTCTTCAACAAAGAAATTTCTCCTCATCTCAGTCCTAAATGCTCAACCTCTTATTTTAAGACAGTGACTTCTTGTTCTAGACTCACCAGCCAGGAAAACATCCTCCATACATCAACCCTTACCAGCCCCTTTCTGTGTACTTCATTGAAATCACTCAAATTCCATATTGAAATGGAGAAATGTACACTTGTATTATTTACATTTTATTGCATATTTTTCAGGAAGGGCAAAAATAAAAGTGGAAATGTTATTCAGTTTTGCTTATATTTTCAGATTCCCTGAATTTATTTTTGAAATTTCTTAATTACCTGAAAATTGTGTTCTATGAGGTGAACTCCACGGATCAGGTTGAGAGCTCCACACATTATATTAAGGATAACCGAGAGGATCCCAACTGCACTTACTGGTTCTAGTCTGTATATGGGTGCTGTGGATAAATAAAACAGTATTTGTAAAGACAGACAACTTGCTATAACGATGGTCTTATCAATATTTGTGACAGGGTGCCTGGTGCAGCCTGATGCCAAAATACCTGATACCAACTGTCCCACACAAGTACAAGATTTTCTCATTTTTGAGGGATAGATTTTCACAGCTTGCCAATTTTATTCTCATTTACTCTCTGACAGCCTATTTTTCATCATTGGCCTGACCCAAGTCATTGAGAGTCCGGAAACCATGCATTTTTTAAAAATTCATTCTTAATATGTCAGTGGTGCTTGGTACACCAGCATTTATTGAACCATTACATTTTTGAACAGCCGCAGTCTGTGCGATGTAGGTACACCATGGTGCTGTCAGGAAGGGAATTCTAAGATTTTTGACCCTGCAACATTAAAGGAACAACAGTATATTTCTAAATAAGGGTGGTATGTGGCTTGAAGGGAACTTAAAAGGGGGAGGGGGGGGGTGTCTTCCTCGTATCTGATACTCTTATAGGTGCCAGAAGTTGTGGGTATTCCTTCATGAGACGCAGGTACCTCTGCCAAGGCCAGCATTTGCCCCTGATCTGACTCAATTTACTTGAGGATTTCACAGGGCAGTTAAGAGCCGACCACATTGGTGTGGATCTGGAGTCACATGAAGGCCAAGCCATGTAAGGATGACAGATTTCTTTCCCCAAAGATGCTTAATATGGTACTAGATGGGTTTTCACAACAATGAATGACCTATGTCATGGTCAACATGATTCCAGATTGCTAAATTTAATTTAAATTCCATCATTTGGAATAGTGGGATTTGAACCAATCAGTTTCCCGACAGCATTAGCCCGGGCTATAGCAGTGTCTCCCATAGGAGATTGCAAAAATCCTCACCAGATGAGTTTTTTTGACAATCAATGGGAGTTTTGTGGTCAGCTATCTTTTAATTCCAGATATTTTCCCTTCTTATTGTTTGAATTTAAATTCCACCAAATGCCCTGTTGTGATTTGTACCCATGTCCCTCAAGCATTAACTGAGGGGTGGAGGCTCTGTCACCATCTCCAGCACAAGTTCAAGAAACTGAATGAACTGCTTCTGTTCATAACAGTAGTGTTCAGGAGAAGTACAGTTAAACCATGGGGAATAAGTGAGCGAGCTGGCTCAAATATAATACAAATTTCCATTTTTTTACCATACATTCTAAAAGGAGAAACAGATGAAATATAGGAGGTAAAATTTTACGAAGGATGAGATTCGGAAGTACTTGGAAGTGCATGCCAAAATAGGGCAGAGACAGCATGGTTTCATTAAGGAGAGGTCATACCTGATAAAGTGGTTAGAATTCTCCGAGGAGGTTAATGAGCAGGTTAGACAAAGGAGAGCCAGTGGCCTTTGACACGGTGCCACACAGGAGGCTACTAAATAAGTTAAAACCCCACAGTGTTTGGCGAGGTCCTGGCAAGGTTAGAGAACTGGCTGACTGGCAGAAGGCAGAGAGTAGGCAAAAAGGGTTTTTCTTCCAGGATGACAGCCAGTGGCAAGCAGAGTTCTGCAGGGACCTGTGTTGGGACCACACCATTCGCACTATATATTAACGATCTGGACGAAGGAACTGAGGGCACTGCTGCCAAGTTTGCAGATGACACATAGATAGGTGGAGTGACCAGTTACGTTGAGGAAATGAGGCAGCTGCAGAAGGACTAGGACATGCTAGGCAAGCGGGCAAAGAAGTGGCAGGTGGAATATTATATGGGAAAGTGTGAGGTTATGAACTTTTGTAGGAAGAATAGAGGTACAGACTATTTTCTAAATGTGGAAAGGCTTCAGAAACCTGAACTTGGGGTCCTCCTTCAGGATTCTCTTAAAGTTAATGTGCAGGTTCAGTTGGCAGTTAGGAAAGCAAATGCAAGGTTAGCGTTGATTTCCAAGAGGGTTAGAATACAACAGCAAAGATACACTGCTGAGGCTGTACAAGGCTCTGGGCAGACCACATTTGGAATATTGTGAGCAGTTTTGGCTCCTTATCCAAGGGAGGATATGCTGGCATTGGAGGAGGTCCAAAGAGGGTTTACAAGGATGATCCTGGGGATGAAAGGCTTGTCATGAGGAGTGGTTGAGAATTCTGGGTCTGTACGGGAAGGTATTTAGAAAGATGAAGGGGATCTGATTGAATCTTACAAAATACTAAGATGCCAGGATAGATTGGACATGGAGAAGATATTTCCATTAGTAGGAGAGACTAGGATCTGAGGGCACAGACTCAAGGGTGAAGGGATGACCCTGTTGAACAGAGATGAGGAGGAATTTCTTCAGCCAGAGTGGTTAAGCTGCGGAACCCATTGTCACAGAAGGCTGTGGATGCCAAATCATCCAGAGCATTTAACATAGAGATAGATAGAGGCCAGGCTGGGCCAAGCCGAACTGAACTGAATTATTGTTGCTTGTATTTAAGTATAACTGGTAAGGGGATCAAAGGTTACAGGGAGAAGGCAGAAGAATGGGGTTGAGAAACAGCCATTATCAAAATGGTATGGCAGACTCAAATGAGCCAAATGGTCTAAATTTTGGTCTAGATTCAGCAATTCTGCTGTGATTCAAAACTTCATGGTCAGAAATCCTGCATGATTCCCCAATGTGGGAGAAATTATGCCATGGTTAAAATTGGCCGACATGATCCACTGCGCACATGCAGTTGCATGCACAACATCACACGATTCACATAAAGGGTCTTGATGCACTTTCAGGAAGTTATAAAGGTAACTAGTTCACATAACTACAGGTCTCTGATGTATGTTAAGGCCATTGTATCTAATAACAGGTGAGTTGCGCCAATAGCAGCTCAGAATTTTAGTCTTATTTCTAATATTACAAAAGGAAAACTTGAAACCATCATGAGGGGTCACTCAGATTCTCAAATTGGCATTAAATCTAAAATAATGACTTTGCTGAGGATGTCTATCACTTGACCTGTTCAGACCTTACAATAAACGGATAAAAACCAACATTAAGTTCAATTTTTTTGATAGATTATGTAGGGAATTAACATTTATTCCCTTTGACTGCTTTCCCTATAATAGAACGCATATAGATAAGTGTTGTGGCTCTTTATATGTCAGACCTAGGATTAGCTTAATTGTTTGATAACCTTTGCTTTATAATTAGCTTTCAGCAGCAAAGCAATGTTCTAATTTTACACAAAAGCAGCCTTTTGGAAAATAACTAGCCTCCACATCACAACTGTGATGCGAAAAGCAGAGTGCTAAATATCACATTCAGATTCTCACATCACATCCCACAAAGCTGCATGAAAACTCCAGCACACTGTATCTCTAAATGGATAACACTACTGAGTAGACATGCCTGTATCCAGCCATTGACTCTACAATCATGGAAAGGTCAAGTTGTAACCTAATGTAGTTTGTTAGTCGGCCCTTTCATCATATAACAATGCAGTTGGATTGTAGTTTTCTCTAGTCTGGTGAAAGGTTCTTACAGTCCAAGGCACAAAATATCAATTGAGCTTGCAACGAGCAATTCTGTTTACAAAGTGATATACAACACGAAATCCATAATTATACCCGGAAATACATATAGTTTTAACATTAGAATTTAAATGCTTATTTTTAACTAGTATTTTAATTAGGATTTATTCTCTATCTAACATGGAATTGATCCTAAAGTCAACTCTACAGCAGTCTGCAAACTTCACTGACAAAGTCTTGCTGATCTCAAACACAAACAAAAACAGAAATTGCTGGAAAAGCTCAGTAGGTCTGGTAGCACCTGTGGAAAGAAATCAGCATAACTTTTTGAGTCCAGTAACCCTTCCGGTTTTGTTTCTGATTTCCAGTTCTTTCGGTTTTTATCTAGCTGATCTCACCTACAGTTATTTAAGTTATGGCATTGGAAAAAAAAATGAATACATGAGCATTACATGTCTGAACAACATCAATGCATTCAAAAAAACAGTATCTGATCTGGTCTTACCAGAGCTTGACTGCAAAAGCAGGTGTCCATTCAACGTCCCATTGGAAACAACGATATCATCCACATTCACTTGGCGGGGTGGTGTCACCTTTAGCTCCCTCTGGATATTGGTCACACTAATTTTTAACAAAGGCCGGTTTGAATAGTTATAGTGCCATTTTATCTTCTGTATTACACTATCTGCAAATTAACAGATGTTTCATGTAAATCTACTGAACAAAGAATGAAGGGCTAAGAGGAGATGAGGGAGGTGATGGCCTAGTGGTATTATTGCTGGACTGTTGATCCAGAGACCCAGATAACACTCTGGGGTCCCAGGTTCGAATCCCACCATCTGCTGTGGCCGAATTTGAATTCAATAAAATATCTGGAATTAAGAATCTAATGATGACTATGAATCCATTGTCAATTGTCAGAAAAATCCATCTGGTTCACTAATGCCCTTTAGGGAAGGAAACTGCAATCCTTACCTGGTCTGGCCTACATGTGACTCCAGACCCACAGCAATGTGGCTGACTCTGAACTGCCCTCTGGGCAATAAATACTGCCTAGTCAGCGACTCCCTCATCCCATTAATTAAGAAACAGGGAGGTTATGGTGGTCCTTTTTCACTCAGCTTGAATTAAGGATGCTTCATCAGAGGTTACTCTAGATTTTTTAAATTCATGCATGGGATGAGGATGTCGCTGGCTAGGCCAGTGTTTACTTCTGTCAACGGTGGGTCTGGAATCACATGCAGGCCAGACCAGGTTAAGGATGGCAGCTTCCTTCCCTAAAAACAAAAGGACATTAGTGAACCAGATGGGATTTTTCCTGACAATCAACAATGGATTCAGAGTCATCATTAGACTTTTAATTCCAGATTTTTATTGAATTCAAGTCCCACCATATGCCATGGCGGAATTTGAAGCCGTGTTTCCAGAACGTTGTCTGGGTCTCTGGATTGACAGTCCAGAATACTAGTAGGTCATTGCCTCCTCATGGTTCCAGGCTGCCGTGACTGCAGATCACTAAACTAATGAGGTCACCCACAACACATACAACCTAATAAGTGAAATTATTAATTTTAACTCAGGTCACCAGCAGTGACCTGAAACCGAGCATCCCAACAGCAAAACAAAAAGAATGAAGGAATAAGAAGATTTCTCATCTCACACAGGAGCTCTTATCCATTTTCTTTCAAAAGAAGTGTCAGCAGATGAGTACTTTTCACTGCAATTGCACTTCTGAAGAAATATACCAAAGGTGTAAAGGGGGCACTGACACTGAATGAAACAAAAATAAAAAGGTTAGAATAATGGATATGTTGAAAAATAAGATGGAACAATAACCCCTTCTCATCCATCCATAGTTCAGGAGTTCACAATCAGTGGCATTCCTATATTTTACATATTTCACTTCCAACTGAAAGGCTGGTAGAAGCAAATTGAATTGTGACTTTCATAAGGAATTAGGTAAGTACTTGAAAAGGGAAGAACTGCAGGGTTATGGAGAAAGAGCAGGAGACTGATGTTATTACATAGTCCTTTCAAAAAGATGTAGCACACATACATTAAACACAAAGTCTGTAATATTTTAGGATTAACAGGCACACACAGTAATTACATCAGATTACCTCAATAAGCCAGAGATACAAAGTTCTTTTGAGGTGAGGGAGAAGAGAAAAGCAAAGCGGAGATGTGTTGCTCTTGGTCCAACGCTAGCAATAATGTACGACAGAGGTAGTTAGAGAATTTTATTTATTTCAAGTATTCTTAAGGGGCTTGACAGGAGGTTCCCCCTCATGGGGGGAGTCTAGGACCAGACGGCACAGTCTCAGAATTAAGGGTCACCAATTCAAGACTGAGATGAGTAGGAATTTCTCCTCTCAGAGTTGAGTGTGTTTGGGACTCTTTGCCACAGTGAGCTACGTATAGTTAAGGCTGAGATTCTTGATCAGTCGGGGAATCAAAGGTAACTGGGAAAGGGCAGGAAAGTGGACATGAGGAATTTTGAATCGGCTATGATCCTATGAATAGCAGAGCAGGCTCCAGAGGCCAAATGTCCGACTCCTATATTTCTTATAGTTTTACAGTCAAACTTCTCTCTACTGGAAGGCCCTCCAGAAAACTTACCGTTACCCATTTCTTTTGGGGAAAACATCTGTTCTTCTGCCCAATTTTTAAACTGGGTTTGGGAACTAACAATGTTAGTATAGAGAAAAGAATTCAACAAAAGTCTTCCACACCAACAGGCTGCCTCATCTATTTGTTCTTAAATGGCATTTTCAGGACGTAGGAGATGCAAAGCATTGTTTTCATTTCTCAAGAGGTGATTTTCCATCCTCTTGGATTGCTGCTCATATCATATCATGTATAAGGCGATACAAAACGAATGGCTTCTTCAGCCACATCATAAAGGAATTAAGATAACTATATTGGCGTGAAACTGAAATCACACACACGTTAAGATGGCAGTAGGTCTTGTTTCCTAAAAGGCCACTAGTAAACCAGTTTAATTTTTATAACAATCTAGCAGCTTCACAGTCATTTTGATAAAAAGCAAATAATTATTCGCGCTCATATTATTGCATTGACAAAGGATTCTCAGTAAGATCACTTTAAAACTGCAGCTATCTGAGAAGCTAATATTTTGCCAGGTAGCTAAAGAAACTATTGGAAATTTCACTTCTGCATAGCCTGGTGAAGTTTCAACTCAGAACATTCAGCACAGCCTCTCAAAAAAAAAATGCAAATTTAATGGACAGTCAATTCATTGAAACATTAAAGAATCTATGGCGTGAGCTGTACTCCAATACTGAACAGATCAACAGAGGGAAGGGACATGGGTGGAGGAAAAGCTGGCAACGTTAAGCAGCTAGAAGACAGAAGACTAACCAAATTCAAGAAAAGCGTAGGGTCTTGAAACCGTGTGAATTTTAGCGATCTCGAAGGAAGAAATAAACTCCATTCCAAGTTCCTCTAAGAAGCAAAATGCCATCGTTGTGGGATAGTAGCTACAGCAGATGGTCATGTAGGCGATACCCTGTGAAGAGGTAAAACTAGGGGTGGGAGGGGAAAAGATCATTAAAAATATTGAAACAGAATAGTAAATTTATATCTTAAATATTGCATTACTTAAAGTAGTATATTTTGTTCGTTGGGTAGTGAAGCTACAGGGTTCATTCAAATGCTGAAATTATCAGCTTAAACTTCAGAGAGGTTTCCACTCTCTTCAGAATCTGGTCAGCCCCCAAAGGCAAATCTTAAGCTATAAAAATGAAAAAGTATATAACACTGTTCCTTCACTGTCACTGTGTCAAAATCCCGGAATTCCCTCCCTAAGGGCATTGTGGGTCAACCCACAGCAGGGGGACTGCAGCAGCTCAAGAAGGCGGCACACCGTCACCTTCTCAAGGGCAATTAGGGACGGGCAATAAATGCTGGCCAGCCAGTGATGCCCACATCCCACAAAATGAATACATTTTCAAGAAAATTGACACTATTCCCCATAAAACCTCTTAAATGCTCTTAGAGATTTGCACTTGTTATAGTCCCAGCTGGTGTTACTACTGAGCAAGTCAAATCCCAGTCTGAAATCTGATTTAATGGATCATATTTCATTTTTTCCAGGTTTAATGAGGTGACCTTTTACTGAAACACAAGCACACAATGCAGCAGATTTGGTTTTAACAATGTCACAAAAGTTTCTGACGAAAATAGAATAAACCAAACTACCTACGTGGAACATAAATCTGAAAATTTTGAAACATATGGCAAATACAATCTCATTATCCCAACAGCACTCCTTTACAGTACTGACAGAAAATTATGTTCTCTATCACATCTACAGTGTATAACTTTAACTGTGGCTCCAATTCACAGCCCTCAAGAACCCAGCCTGGAAGCTGTGGAATGGCCTCCCTCCCTAAAACTCTTGCCTTGCCAGCTCTCTCCCATCCTTTAAACCTTTGATTACCTTGGCTTTCCTTTAATGGCTCAATAGTAACTTCTTACATTTATTTAGAACCTTTTCTCAGTGTAAGTTGTTCTTGTTGCCTCTTTATTCCATAAAATCAGAATCTTGCTGAAATTTGCCTCCAGAGTTTGGAAGGTGCAAAATTTACACCATTAGTTTATCCTCTGCTTCAAAATAAATTCTCTCAATTGCTTCTTTCACAGTTCCTTCTCTCTACCAGCTCCAACCAAGGCATCGGAATGCAATTACATACAGTGCGTGGGATTGCTCCATCAAGGCACTGGTGCTGCTGTTTAAAGCATTGATGATCAGTGTTACTGATGAAGGATAAGTAAAAGTTCACATTCTCCTCTGTTGTTTCCCCCCAGTCTGAGACTTCTTACACAGGAAAGCAGAATCTGTAGCATCTCGAGAAGGAAAAAAGCAAAATGCTCAGAAAACTGGGGGGTGGAAGGAAAAGAGGCGCAATGAATCCAGAGAATAGCCAAATAGAAAGCATCTGGATCATCTGGGAAATGAGCAAGTGAAAACTACAAGATTTAAAAACTCAAAAGTGGGGTAAAATATTCTGTTTCTTTTTTAAGAGCATAAATTTTTTGAACCAGGCAAGCAACTATGTTTCAGTGGCCAGAGTTAATATTTTGCTCCAAGATTCAGTGCAGAGATGAAGGCAGGATAAAACACAAAATGTTGCACAAGAGATAGTAGGAACTGCAGATGCTGGAGAATCCGAGACAACAAGGTGCAGGGCTGGATGAACACAGCAGGCCAAGCAGCATCATAGGAGCAGGAAGGCTGACGTTTCGGGCCGAGACCCTTCATCAGAAAAGGGGGAGGGGAAGGGGGTTCTGAAATAAATAGGGAGAGAGTGGGAGGCGGATAGAAGAGGGATAGAGGAGAGGATAGGTGGAGAGGAAACAAACAGGTCGAAGAGGCGGAGATGGAGCCAGTAACGGTGAGTGTAGGTAGGGAGTTAGGAAGGGGATAGGTCAGCCCAGGGAGGACGGACAGGTCAAGGGGGCGGGATGAGGTTGGTCGGTAGGAGATGGAGGTGCGGCTTGAGGTGGGAGGAGGGAATAGGTGGGAGGACGAACAGGTTAGGGAGGCAGGGACGAGCTGAACTGGTTTCGGGATGTGGTAGGGGGAGGGGAGATTTTGAAACTTGTGAAATCCACATTGATACCATTGGGCTGCAGGGTTCCCAAGCGGAATATGAGTTGCTGTTCCTGCAACCTTCGGGTGGCATCGTTGTGGCACTGCAGGAGGCCCAGGATGGACATGTCGTCTGAGGAATGGGAGGGGGAGTTGAAATGGTTCGCGACTGGGAGGTGCAGTTGTTTATTGCGAACCGAGCGTAGGTGTTCTGCAAAGC